AACCACCACCATCATCATCATCATCATCATCATCATCATCATCATCATCATCATCATCATCATCATCATCATCATCAACAACAACAACAACAACAACAACAACAACAACTGTAAGTGACTGTAAACAATCTGAGAATGAAAATTTGTTAGAAATTAAATAAATATTTTTGAGTTTTCAGACCTGAAGGTAAAAACTCTCTCAGGTGAACTGGAACCGAGTCAAACTCAGGTGTGTACAGATCAATAAAAGACGACAAAGGTCCTGACAGGTGGACTTGTCTCACAGGTCTCAGCTGGAGACGGGCGGGACACGAGGACTTACAGCTGTTCTGGAAGGTGTGGACCTGCATGTCCAGCAGAGGGAACGACTGCCTGAAGCTGTACGTCACCGAAGTCTTCTTCTTCTGGAAGATCTTCGTCACCTGAGGAGGAGGAGGAGGAGGAGGAGGAGAGGTGGTTAGACAGACCCACAGCCGAAAGAAGAGCAGCTGAAGCTAACGAGCCGTGGTTACCATCAGCAGGTCGTTGAACAGGAAGACTTCTCTCTGATGGACCCCGCTCCTCTGAGCCCGGTTCGGATCCGGAACCTCGAACAGCTGACAGCAGCAGACCAGCCTGCGGTGAGGCAGCGACAGCACCTGCAGCACAGAGAAACGTTCAAAAACAYAACAAAAACAACCAACCAAAAGAAAACAAGCACTTCCTAAAAGTAACAAAACACTAGCCATAAGCTAAATGATACAAACAATAGCTAAAAGAAACAAAAGACTAGCTAAAATGAGCAAAAACCCAGCTAATAGTTCTCAAAAACATGCTAAAACTAACAGGAGCAAAGCAATAACTAAAATTAAAGGAACTTTAGCTAAAAGCTAAAAATAAAGAGACAATAGCTAAATGCTAACTTGAGTAAAACAATTGCAAAAGGCCAACAGAAGCAAATTATTAGCTAAAGGTTTCAAAACACTAGCTAAAAGTAGCCTAAGAAAACAAAATCAGAGCCTGTAGCTGAAGCCTGTAGCTGAAGCCTGTAGCTGAAGCTAGTGGCTGAAGCCTGTAGCTGAAGTCTGTAGCTGAAGCTCATAGCTGAAGCCTGTAGCTGAAGTCTGTAGCTGAAGCTCATAGCTGAAACCTGTAGCTGAAGTCTGTAGCTGAAGCCTGTAGCTGAAGCATGTTGCTGAAGCCTGTAGCTGAAGCCTGTAGCTGAAGTCTGTAGCTGAAGCTAGTGGCTGAAGCTAGTGGCTGAAGCTAGTGGCTGAAGCCTGTAGCTGAAGTCTGTAGCTGAAGCCTGTAGCTGAAGTCTGTAGCTGAAGCTAGTGGCTGAAGCTAGTGGCTGAAGCTAGTGGCTGAAGCTAGT